CCTTGGTGTGCATATCTGAGAATTTATCTAGCCAGTTTGGCACAGGAAAACAAATACAAAAATTTCTTTTGCATTTAAAAAATATTCTGCGACCCTTCTACAAATATAACATTGTATTGGACATGACTTAAAATGTACTCAAACACACATGTTAATTTTTGTGTGGAATTTTGCCCAAGATTCACACTTAGGTAATATTTACACAATGCCAAGTGCACACTTGAAAGGTAAATCAGTCAACCCATTCAGATAGTCCCAAATAGCCAGATGTTTAATATTGTGAAGGAACATATCCAGGTAATAAATGAGCTTATTTTTAACCTGAAAAGTTTGATATTGTGCCTGAGAAAATATTTTTCAGTGATACAAAAACAGGGGTCTTGCCACGAGTTATGGACTGAATTGTGTACTCCCAGCTCCCCCAAATTTGTATGTTAAATCCCTAACCCTCAGTACCTTAGAATGTGCCTATATTTGGAGATAGGAGCTTTAAAGAGAAGATTAAGTTAAAATGAAATTGTTAGGGTCGGCCCTAGTCCAATCGGACTGTGTTATTATAAGAAGGGGGAAATTTGGGCACAGATAAGTGGGTGCATGAAGGGAAGACCGTGTGAGGACACTGTGCGAAGACAGCCATCTGGATGCCAAAAAGAGAGGCCTCAGAAGAAAGCAACCCCGCTGACCCCCCTGGATCTTGGACTTTGAGCCTCCAGAACTGTGGGAACATAAGCTCCTGCTGGTTAAGCCACACACTCCGTGGTATTTTGTTATGGCAACCCTAACAAGTAAATATCCACGACACAGTGAACAGTGAGTGTGTAGGGTGTTCAAGAGTTTATCAATTGGCTTGTCAATCTGTTTACTTCCCTGCTAATTTCATCTTTCTATTTATAAATTAATTTGAGTGGAAAAAAGACACTTAACATTGTTTGAATGAGGCCATCAGCAAGCTATAAAAGTTTTCTTAAAAATAAGTACAGTCTTCACTCCCAGAAATGAGTTTGAAAACACATTTCCAGTAACTTTGTGCATTCCCACTAACTAATATTCTGAGAATAATCTGTGGTAATCTTGAGAAACTATGTAAAACTCAGTATTCTTTTGTCTTTTAATACACATTTTGGAAATGTCTACATTGCTCAGTACTATAAAACATGATGTCATTCTTTGAAAAATGCCTCAAAATGCATTCGGGTAATAGAATCCAGACAAGTTGAGAGTGGTCTTAATCATTTCATTACCTGAGAATCTTTACTCTGAAAAATATGCCCTGGCTGGTGTGGCTCAGTTGGGTGTCGTCCGTGCAACAAAAGGTTGCTGGTTCGATTTCCATTTAGCCCACTGTTGTGGGCTCAGTCCCTGGTAGGGGGCCTGCAGGAGGCAGCCAATCGATGGCTCACTCTCACATCAATGTTTTTCTCTCCCTCTGCCCTCCTCTCTAACAACAAAAATCTTAAAAAAAACACACCTAGATAATGGAAGATGCTTAATAAATATTTTTTTAAAATATATTTTTATTGATTTCAGAGAGGGAGGGAGAGGGAGACAGAGATAGAAACATCAATGATGAGAATCATTGATTGGTTGCCTCCTGTACACCCCCCACCGGGGAGCCCACAACCTGGGCATGTGCCCTTGAGTGGAATTGAACCTGGCTCTTCAGTCCACAGGCCAACGCTCTCTCCACTGAGCCAAATCGGCTAGGGCTAGTAAATATTTTTAAAGAGTTCCTACTTTGTTCTTTGGGAAGGTAATGAGATTATTTTCCCTGCTGTCATCCTTGCAGTGGAATACATATTTCCTGTTACACATTTTAATTTTAATTTGACTTTAAGAAAAACTATTGTTATTGTAAAAGCTACTGGAAGACAAAGTCATGTTCAAGTAGTTACAGTCAATAATCAAACAACCAAAAATAACAAGGAGAATGCCAAAACAAAGCCGCTATTTTAGAGATGAACGATGAGAGGAAATCATTGATCAGCTGCCTCCTGCACGCCCCCTACTGGGGATCAAGCCTGCAACCTGGCATGTGCCCTTGATTGGAGTCAAACCTGCGCCAAACCAGCTACGGCAGAATCCAATAATTTTAAATGGAACTTAGAAGTGAGAAAAACACCACACTCTCTGCAATAGTGTCAACAATATAAAATAAAAAAAGATGAGTTTGTTAAAGTGACTAATTCAGTTTTACTTAAATAAAATCAAATTGTAAAATAACCAACTTATAACTGTGGAAAAATAATGTGTATTTCAAAGCTGCTAAAATAAAATGTTTAATAAAAACATAATAAAACAAAAAGCACTAATCAGAATCAGATATGGGGGAGAAAAACATTCCCCCTCAAGTGTCATGAAGCAGCAACCAGAAAGCTTCCAAAATCCACATGTAAGTGATGAAGTTCTGTTAAAAATAAAAATCAAGAAAGAATTCTGAAAAGAAGGGAATAAAAGAAGGGAATTCTGCAAAGGACTTTACAAAAATCAGTCAAGTTTCTAGAGGAAGGTATAAGGAATTAATCCTAAACTGCTGCTAAACTGCTTAGCTGGCAGAACAAACCTATTTCATTTTCTTTCTTGCTGCTCACGATTCTTTTTATAATTTGTGAGGCAAACGTAGAAAGTTTCTGCAGGTCTTGGGAAATGACACAAACTGTATTAAGTATGACTTTTAGGAAACCTAATCTGCTCCCATTAGATAAGATTTTACTATACTTGCTGGAAATAAGACTCATCTGTTATGAATTGCCCTACCTTTGCTTTAGGGCAGCGATTTTCAACCTTTTTCATCTCAGGGCACACAAGCTAATTACTAAAATTCTGTGGCACACCAAAACATATGTTTTGCTGATCTGACAAAAAAAGTATAATTTTGATGGAATTACAAAAAAGTAATAATAGTAGTAATTACTTACCCTTTTTGCTCCAAAGTGACTTTGTAAAAAAAAAAATCAGAAGCCCATGCTTGTATATCAGGATTTCTGGTACCAAGAATTAACCAATCAGCTGTATCCTTATTATGTGATATGACCAATAAGATGCAACTCTATTATATAACCTATGTATTTGTGGTTCAAGACAGGGCATTCACACTGGATGGCTATTGTGTTGGCTGTTGTCATTTTCTTTAAAAAATATATTTTTTATTGATTTCAGAGAGGAAGGGAGAGGGGAGAGAGAGATAGAAACATCAATGATGAGAGAGAATCATTGACTGACTGCCTCCTGCATGCCCCCACTGGGGATCCAACCTGCAACACTGGTATGGACCCTTGACCGGAATTTGAACCTGGGACCCTTGAGGCTGCAAGCTGACACTCTATCCACTGAGCCAAACCAGCTAGGGGGGCTGTTGTCATTTTTTAAAAATTTGACAACCTAAGGGAAAAGAGGTCAGTGTCTCTGAATAATCAGGTATTGCATGTTTTAGAAATTCTTGTGGTACACTGGTTGACAATTGCTGCTCTAAGGTCTTTGATAGATATGACGAATGAATGTAAAGAATTTCATGGTGACTTCTAGATCAGCAATGTCCAATGGAACTTTCTGCTATGATGGAAATGTACTATATCTTCTCTGCCCAATATAGTGGCCACTTGCCACCTAAATATAGGTAATGCTACCAATGAACTGAATTTTAAATTTTCTTAACAAAATACATTTTATTTAATTTTAATTAATTTAAATAGCCTCATGTGGCCAGTGGCTACCATATTGGGCAGTGCAGTTCTAGATCCTTTTTATCCCTTTAACTGAAGGCCTCAGGCATCATTTTACTGCATTTCCTTGGGTTTTCTGGGATTAACTATTATCCAAGGCTTCTAGGTTCCCAAGGGATAGGGTGATCATATAATTGTCCAAACCTGGATACTTTTCGAGAGACAGGGAGTGTTACTCCAATTATGGTGAGGCAAGAGGCATAATCTGGGTTATCCAGGGCACACAGGAAGGCTGTTCCCCCCACCCACAAGGATTGCTGCTTGAAGATTCTATTGGGAAGTCACTGGACTTTTCAGACTGCCGTTACAGATCAGGTTTAAGCATCTCTTTGAGGCACACATGTCATCATACCATGATTTTCTTTGCCCCCAAAAATATTTACCAAAAATCGTTATAATTCATTTCTGCTTTCCAGTGACTTCCAACCATGAAGTAAAGCAATGTCTAATAAGAGGCTAAATGACCAACTCAAAACAGAAGTAGATAATCAATCATACTGATTTGAGTTTAGACCAAGTATCTGAATAGCTAATTGGGCTCATTGTTAACTTTTCCCCTGGCTTTTGGGTCAGAAACCAAAGAGAGCCAAAAAGATCAGAGCTATTTCTTTGCAGTGTAGTCACTAAGCATTCCTGGATGGACACAGCTTCTCCCAAAGGGATTAAAGTGGGCAGGCTGAGCATGAGGCAGTTCATTTAGTCCAGATTCTGAATTTCCTGTCAGGAGTGGATCCCAGAAATAAGTTGGGTCCTTTCTTACCTTTCTGCCATCAGTTGCGGAAGCATATTAAGATCTGCTTTTAACAGTTACATTTCAGCAGGATACGAGCAGCTGCAGAATACTTTAGGGTTCCCACTTTCAGAACTCAACCTGTTTTGAAATAACCTAGAGGGCTTTTTTCCCTTTGACACAGGTACAGAACATGGATTGAAACATCAAATCACAAAAATAATTTCAAAATTCCAATCCAAATGCATCTATACACTAACTGTCTTTAAAAGCAACCAAGTCACAGGACAGGCCAATTCTTATGTAATCTCACTGACATGCCATGGCTTTTCACATCCTGCCCACCTTTTGTAGCATACTTTATGTTGAACACAGTAGAGTTTTGTGTTAAGAAAAAATATTTCAGAATTTAATAGGCATGTGGGTGAATAGGAAAAGAGAAGGCAATTATTCCAGGAGATTTACCTGCCGGGAAAAGAATTTAGCTGCATAGTAATTCAAATAATAAAAGCGAGGTCTCTGAATCATTTTGTCAGACGTTTTCCACCAACCTGATAGCTCGAATGACAGTTTTAAGTGGTGGGGTGAGGTCTTCTACAGATACATCACACTGGCATCCTTTTTCATCATATACATCATCAGTGCCAAGGGCGGTGTCAGCTGCAAGAGAAAATTCCCAGTTAAATGCCACCAGCAGCAATTTAAAACATGGTGCAGAACTTGTCTCACAGAGCAATAGGGGGGAACTCACAGACTAACCTTACACATCAAGTATAAGGTCAGCCAATTGTTTTTCTCAATGTTATTTCTTCTCCTTTCTCTATAACCTCACCAATTTTCTGTCATTTAACTTGAATACCCTCCTAAGCTGATCTCCACAGGGAAGATGAAGATGTTGATGCGCTGTCTTTCCTTCAGTGGTGATGGATTTGTGTTGACCCACCCCTGCTCTTTGCCCAGTTCTTTGAAACTAACAGCCAGCATTTAAAAAACAGTTGTTTGGAGTTAGGGAAATAATCTATGGATACTTAACTAATTGATCTCTATCAATAGAGCTTGAAACCCATGACAATGACCCTGTTAGCCCCAAACCCTGAACAGGCAAGTAAGCCCTCAGACCCAAGAATCCTGATTTATCAGTTACTGCCTGACTACACAGGCAGTCCAGGAGAGAGCTTGCTTAAGATAACACAACCAATGCCAAGAGATTTTCAGGTTGGTAATAAAAGCAGTTCCTCATAAACTGAGCAAATTAACTTTCTTTTTCTTTCTGAAACAAATTAACTGTTGGGTTAATAGCAAAAGTTGTAAAAGGGGGTAGGGTTACAATAAACCAAATTAGTAAGGATTTATACAATTAATAAGAAACTCATATCATTGCAGCTTTATTTTCAGCAACAAAATATCGAAAAGAAATTACAATTTTTGGAATGGGAGATGAGTGAAATAAATATTGGTAGGTTTATATAATAGAATATTAGGAAGCCGTAAATATGATGTTGAATATGTGGAATCCAATTAACAAAATAAACTGATGAACGGAATGGATCCAGAAACATGGAAGCGTGGAACAGAGTGGAATCTCAGAGGGACGGCAGGAGAGGGAGGGTAGATGGGAGGTAATCAACTAAAGACGTTGTATGCATATACTTATAACTCGTGGACACAGACAGTGGGGTGTTGAGGATCTGGGGTGAGGGGTAGGGGCAGGTTGGATGGGGTCAATGGGGCATATGTAATACTTTCAACAATAAAGATTTAAAAAATTGCTAAAAAATAAATAGAAAATAAAAAATGGTGTTGAAGACTAATGATTGAAAAAAAAGTCACAATATATTATTATTACTTAAAATGTTTAAAACAATTTTTTAAATTGATTTTAGAGAGGAAGGGAGAGGGAGAAAGAGATAGAAACATTAATGATGAGAGAGCATCATTGATTGGCTGCCTCCTACATGCCCCCTACTGGGGATCAAACCCATAGTCTGGGCATGTGCCCTTGACCAGAACTGAACATGGGACCCTTCAGTCTGCAGGCTGACTCTCTATCCACTGAATCAAACCAGTTAGGGCAAAATTATTTATTTATTTATTAAATTTATTGGGGTGACTTTGGTCAACATGAACATATAGGTTTTAGGTCACAAAATACTATTAAAGAAAAAACCTATATATCTATTGGGATTCAGCATAATTTTATTATTTTGCTTGGCTATATTTCTAAAATGTCTACAATAAACATATATTACTTTGGTAATAAAGTAATAAAAAATCATACATGAGATGAGTTATATAGCCTCCAAATATACCGCTAAGCCTCTTTAAATGCTGACATACACTACAGGACTAACACTGCTCTCTGTTGCCTTTGCTCTGCCCAGTGGTCATGTGCTAAGTCATGAAAGTTCCTTTGCCATGGGCTGTGCAGGTTGGGTTAAAAGTCCTGAAAGACTTTTGGAGGCCCATTCATTGAAGCAGTGCTTAATGAAAGGCAGTTGATGTGTCATTTAATTCAACTATTTACTGTGTGTTTATTCAGTTTATTGTGTGCTGAGAGTGGAGGTGGTGGTGGTGGAAGAGATGGGTCTTCCCAGCTCTTCTTCATGGTCCCTCTGGCCTGATAGTGATGATGATGATAATAGCAGCCACTCACTGAAATTTATGCCAGGCACTTAGGTGAAGCTTCTGAAGGCATTAATTTTCTTCCAGGAACTCTATAGGTTGTTGGTGATATTATGTCTAGTTTTTAGATGCCAAAACAGGCTCAGAGAAGGTAAGTACCTTACTTGAGGCCACAAAGGTGGTAAGTGCAGCTAATAAGTTGCAGAGCATGTTATTAATTTTTAAAATTTATTGATTGATTTTAGAGAGAGAAAGAGGGAAGGGAGAGAGGGAAAGAGAGAGAGAGAAAGAGAGAGAAAGAGAGAAAGATTTGTTATTTCATTTACTTATGCATTCATTGGTTGATTCTTGTATGTGCCCTGATTAGAGATCAAACCCACAACCTTGGTGTATCTGGATCATGCTCTAATCAACAGAGCTACCCACCAGGGCTGCAGAACATGTTATTAAAATTCTGTTTCTTGAGGCTTCAAAGCCCTTGCCCTTGCATTATGCAGTGTTAGATGCATTCAGGGTTCAATAGTGGCATGCAACATGTCAGGAGAGGGCCAGGGGAAGAGCTCAGCTGGCGTGCTGCCTCTTGGGTATATTCCACTTCTCTCCAGACAAGTTTGCCACTGGATAAGAGTACACTGATTAACTCTGTCAGTAGGTTCTGACTCAGTGATGACCTTGATGGTAGCTAGCCATTTTGCTTAATCAACCACCCACACAACACAACCCTTTTAGCTTATAACATCATGCCCAAGGTTAGATGACATTCTTCCAGGAACTCTTCATGATTTCTTCCTCTTAGTTGGTGAAGTAGGTTGAATAATGTTGCCTCAAAGTTCATGTCTACTTGGAAAATCAGAATATAACCTTATTTGGAATAAGGGTCTTTGCTGATGTAATTAAGGTAAGGTGTCAGATGAGATCATCCTAGATAAGAGTGAGCCTTAAGTCCAATGAAAGTGTCCTTGTAAGATAGAAAAGGAGAACACACAGGAGCATGAGAATATGGAAGAAGAGGAGGGAATGATGGGTCTCCAAGCCAAGAACACTGAGCCTGGCTGTCAACTGCCAGAAGCCGAGGGAGGCACCTGATGGCTTCTCCCGCAGAGATTCCAGAAGGAACTGACTGTGGAGGCACTCTGCTTTGCGACACCCTGATTTCTTAAATTGTGAGTGAATACATTTTTATTGTTTCAAACTACCCAGTTTGTGGAATTGGTTATGTCATCCTTAGGAAACTGATACAATTGGGAACACTTTTCTTTATGGTTTCTCTTCACTCAAGAACAATAATTATGATGATAATAGTAGTAATATGTGCTTTTAAGGGAAATCTAACTATGTGCCAAGGGCTTTGATTAATTGCTAAAAACCCCAGGAAGAACATAATATTATTAGCTCCTATTTTACAGATTATGAAAGTGAGGCACACAAAGCTAAGAAACTTGCCCAAGGACACATGGGGCAGACGCAGAATTTAAATCTGGGCATTTGGGCTCTGGAGCTGCACTGTTAAACCCGGCTCCTTCCAGATTTGTCTTTCTTGCCCCTCTTGTTAGCATCTAGATTTCCTTCTCCTGCGTTTCCTTTTCCTTCACATGGCTGTGAGCACCTGGCTGTCATGGTCTCAGGTGAAGTGACCCCACAACATTGAAAAAGGATCAGACTTGGAGCAATGAGGTTCCCAAGACCATGTGCTGAGCCAGTCCACACCCCAAGGAGACCTGGAAATACACATACCCTGAAACTGCGAGGAGACTGTGGGTGTGGGGGGCGCAGGTACAGGCCAGGTGGCTGTCAGAGCCAAAGTCACCAGGCACCACTATGGAGCCCTGGGAGACACCCCGATGTTACCTACCCCAAAGAAATATAGAATCATGCCCTTTATCAGGATTCCCAGCAAGGAATTCAGGAGAGTATTCTACCCTGCCCTTGACAATAGAGGCATGTGACCTCTCTCCCTCATCTGAAATCTCGTGAGAACCACTCTGACATGGTCCCATTTTACACCTTAGAAAACTGGGGAGAATGAGAGAGGCTCCAGGGAGGGCAGGTCCTACTTGAAAATACAATACACCCAATCATAACACAATGATGCAGGTCCAAACAATGGAACAGTATAAAATACAGGGTCTTTTAGAAAAATTAAAAAAAAATTTGGTCATTGGTCATTTTATTTTAATTATTTTTGTTAATCCTCACCTGAGGATATTGTTCCTTTGATTTTTTTGAAAGAATGGAAGAGAGAGGGAAAGATAGAAACATTGATGTGAGAGAAACACATTGATTGGTTGCTTCCTGCTTGAACCCCAACCAGGGCCCAGGCCCAGGAGGAGCTTGCAACCAAGGTATGTGCCCTTGATTAGAATTGAACCTGGGACCCTGGTTTGCAGGCAGACACTCTATCCACTGAGCCAAACCAGCTAGGGCAAAAAATATTAATATTTTTAGAAAGAGAGAAAGAGGAAGGGGGAGATAGGTAGATATGGATTTGTCCCGCTTATTTATGCATTCATTGGTTGATTCTTGTATGTGCCCTGACCCAGGATCGAACGTACAACCTTGGTGGTATTGGGCTGACGCTCTAACCAACTGAGCTACTTGTCCAGGGCCAAAAACAGGTTCTTTTATTATGAAACTTTAGTGCAAAACTTTTTCAGCAGGTTTATACTGTCACAATAAGCACAAAAGTAAAGATAGCGAAATTACATTTGCACTGACTGTAAATAGAACTGGGAACATCCCAAATGATGATGAGTTTCTTCCCAGCTTAATGCTGCTCCCCCTCAGCCTTGTCCAGTATCCCAACAAGATCTTTAATCTATCATCTTGTTTAAATACAGGACTGGGTAGAAGATGGGAGTCAGTCACCAACTGCATCATATCCAAAGGCATCTTATTGTGGCATTTTAGTATACTACCTAAACTTGATTGCTCACAGCACAAATTAAACTCTCAGTCTTTAAAAAATTTTCTTTGTAGGTTTAGTCAGAGCAAATGAATAAGAACTATATCTTTGCTGGCCTCTATTGAAGCCAGGGCTC